ATAAGCCCACCGATCTCTTTGGAGCCATCAATACAGGGGAGGGGGGGAAAATCCAAAAACGTGTCAATTATAGATGATCAGAGTCAAAACCCAGTGCAGACACTTCTTTGGCGCAGTCTGGAGGAGGGCAGACATGGCCGAGAAGAACAGTAGCTAATGCTTTCTGGGTGCTGAAGAAGAACAGAACATCGAGACAGAATCGAACCTTGCCCAGCAGGTGTTACCAGTATGTCTGTTGAGAGCAGAGGAGCGAGAGTGGGTGTAGCTTGAGATGACACAGCTAGCTGGTCTGGGGTGGAAGCAGGCCCTGTGGCCTCTGTAGGTCCCTTCCTTTGGCAGCCACCATGCCCTCTGTACACAGTGCCATCTCTCACTGACCCACTAACTTTTCCTGGGCTTTGCTGGGATCATTCACTTCCCCACTGTCATAGTTAGGTCTGGGCCAGAATTATCAGTGGTTTGACAGTTTACTAAACTCACTGCCATTGAGTCACTGTCAACTCACAGTAACCCTAGAGTACAGAAGTCTTGCCCCCGCGGGCTTCTTTATGAGACTAGAATTCTTTGTGACAGTAAAAAGCCTCATCTTTCTCCCAAGGAGCAGCTTGTGGTTTCAAACAGCTGACCTTTCTGTTAGCAGCCCAATGTAACCACTGTAACTCCAGGATTCATTTGGTGGTGAAGAACTATTAATTTCTCATAACGTGATCTAATACAACGTAATGCCTTTACTCAGATCCCACCCCTGACGCAATCAATTGAAAGGAAGTTCCTTGGGCCTGTGGCCTGCTTCCAATATACGGTAAGTGGACACTGGAAAAGCTTGCTTGTTTTTGCTAGATCTGGATCTGTTAGGCAGGTAGATTGGGGACGAATGGGGGGTTGTCCCTCCGACGATGCCCGCAAAGGCCCACTTAGAGGGGTTGGAAAGAAATCAGGCACTAATTGGACACCCCTGGGAAGACCCACACTGAGCGTGCAGACTAGGACCTTAGCACAGGTGAAATCTACAATCTAGCCTCCACCTCGGTTCATGACATCACCCAGGTGCATTTCAACAGAGCCAATAAGATCAGGCCAAAAGGTCCACCAAGCTTGCCCAGCCAGAGGTGTTAGACACTGTGCTGTGGGAAGGCCAGGTCTCTTTTTTAACCCCTGCTTCTGTTCAACTGTAGGCGGAGGGTGGGGGTGGGGGTGGGGGTAGAGGTGTCTCTCTCCCATGTTGGCGTGCAAACATGCCTGGGGGGCCCTCTGAGCCTAATGGCGGTCCACATGCTCTTCGATCTCTTGTCCTCTTGGTCCCCGGAGATTCCCCAGTTCCGCAGGTCTGGGTATTATTTTCCACGTCGTTTTTTGTGCCTAGTTGTGAACCCCAGCGGGCTTCCGCAGCTTGGCACGCTTTCCCGAACTAGCGTGTACCCTTTTGAGACTGTCAAACCTTTTCCTTTCCTTCATAAAAACTCACTTGGATTACAAAAGTGCTTCTTCGACATCAGTTCTTTCTGCACCATGTAGCAAGAACCGAGGTAACCCAATCCAGTAACAGTCCGACATCTGGTTCATTGACCCCCAGGGCTTGAGCTAACAGCCTGCCAACCTTGAACTTGAGCTAACAGCCTGCCAACCTTGGGTTCATTTGCGTCTTCAGCCACCATCAGCTACGCAAGTCAGGAGAAGCTTCCTCCCTAACACCTGACCCCCAGACTTGGCACCTGCCCCGGCTTGAACTTGCCTATTTCTATAATTGCATGCGCCATTTTCTTGATATACAATTTTATCTATACACATAAACTTCACTTGTTTTGTGTCTCTAGATAACTCAGTCTAAGACACCCTTACACTGTGCACATACTGATTTCCCTGTTCATAAAAACCCCAACTTCCACTAAGTAATGTTTCCAAACTTGAGTCCTTTGTACACCACCCTCCCAAATTGTGCCATGTCTGTACACCACCCATACCTTTCCCAAAAATGGCCTAGTAATGGTTCGGAAATGCAGGATTGAAAGCCTAGCTTTGTGCTCCTGGACAAGTTTCTTTTTAACGCTCCCCGTGCTTCATCTGTATCACAGGCTAATAGAAGGTGCTTGTTTCAGAGACACCCACCTCGAGGGCTACTGTGCATACTTAAGGAGGCACTGCAAGTGCAGCATTAGACAGCACCTCACTCACCAAAAACCTTCCAACCTAGCTACTATTGTCATTACATTTATTTAAAAGGGATACTTAATATCTCTACCATAAATGGAAAAATCAGTACCACTTGCTGCAAATAGAGTTATTATAAAAATAAATGAAATGAAAACAGTTATTAAATCCTAGCTATCGCCTGCCAAGGGCTCCATGCCCGAGGCCTGTTCTCATTTCGTCAAAAAGGGAGACAAGCAAGTGTCAGAAGAAAGATGCGAAAGACACAATTGGCTCAAACTACGGGAACCGACTTGTCTCTGTCTCCCCAGGACTGTCTGGTTTGGGCGCTGAAGTCTGGAGGCACCGGTCAGTCACCTTGCTTCAAATGGAGGCTTTCTCCTTGATCAGAAGGACTGAAAAGAATTTAAAAGGAGAAGCGTGATTTCAGGTGCTTAAGGTGCAGTCAATATCCTACTTAAAACACCATCTTGCAGAATCAGCTCTGACCTTAGAAAATAACTCACCAGCTCAGCTCTGAGAACTGAGCTTTCAAAGACCATCAGTGCAGGGGAGAGCCACCCCAAGGCACGGGACACTGAGAGGGTCTTCGGAAATAACTGTGTTTGCAAATGCCACCCAGGAGAGAAGCCTGAAGGAACCGCCACCCAGCTAACAGGGCTCCGCATCGCAGGACCAGAGGAGCGCTTCGTGATCTGTAAAATGACCCTGGAGGAACTTTCTGTTAAAAATAAACCAGATTACAAAATCAGTACAGTAAGATGAGAGCTTCAGAGAAATATAAAGGCGGGGAAGAAATAGACTGTAATATCAGTGGTGCTTATCGCTGAGTGATGGAATTATAGAGGAACTTTTATTTCTTTATGTGTCTTTCTACATTTTATTATTTATATTCATTTTCTACATTTTAAAAGAAATGTTGACAAAGAATGTCTATTACCAAAAGCGGAAAAAAAGTGAACAACATTTTTAAAAAGAAAAAAATCGATGGGAAATTTGTCCACCACTTTCTTTGCAGGATTGTGCCTAAGAGCCAACAGGGGAAACGATCGAAGCGGCTCTCACCACATCCTGAGTCAGTCCAGTACTATAGATAGGTACAGTGGCCTTTTATTTCACCCCAAAAAGAAATGAAGTCTTGATGCATGCTTTGACCTGGATGCATCTTGAAAACATTATGCTTAAGTGAAATAAGCCAGACACAAAAGAATAAGCATTCTACAATCTCATTTATATGCAATATCTAGAACAGTCAAAGGCAGCCAGACAGAAAGTAGATGGGTGGTTGCCATGGGCTGGAGGAAGAGGGCATGAGAAATTAATATTTCATAGGAACAGAGTTTCTATTTAGGTTGATTATCAAAAGTTTGGTAATCAGTAGCAGTTATGATTGTACAACATGGAGAGTTTGATTACTGCCACTGGATTTTGCACTTGAAAATGATCAACAGACAAATTGTGTGGGGAGTGTAGTTGCCCATCATAAAAACAAAGTTAACAGAGAGAAGGGTATGCAAAGTGGGTGAAGCCCAGCTTCAGCAAACTGGTGTTTGCATGTGGACAAGTGTGCAGGAAATTTTTCTTCCAATAAATGCCCAACTTAATATGAAGTGTAGAAGGTACATCAGCTCTGACTACAAAAAGCCACCTCCAATACACACACACACACACACACACACACACACACATACCACTGAACCATGACCCAAACAAACATGGCAACTGGATTCTTCAGTCCATTCAAACTCACAAGACACAATTGAAGAAGCCACACACCCTCACACTGCTCGTTGTGTTGAAGGGAAGGAGCACTGTAGGCAGTCAGACAGACCCGGTCCTGTTCTAGCTCTGCTCCTAAACACTTGAGGGAAATCACCGAACTCCATAATGAAGGGTGGATGTGGCTCTACCAGCCTCCCAGCAGGTCCTAAACAACCCCTAGTGTTCCCCCAACCCCCTAGGTAGCTCCCTCCTTTTCCTGCAAAAAGCTCAGGCAAGCTTTTTTCCTGCAAAAAGCTCTGAGACTGTTTCACTCCACCCCCCACCCACCCCCCACCTCCAGCCTGAAGGTGTTGAGGGCAGCAGCTGCTAGCTCTGAGGGGCTGGGGCCCTGGCCAGGGCCCCGAGCCCCTGGGCTGCTATTTATTCCAACTGCAAGGCCTCTCTGGGCTTTTCCAACTGTTTACTGGGCAGGAGGAAGCCAGGCAGCTGGTGCCTCTCTCTGGCCTCTGGCTTCCACCAGCCTTTCCTTTGTAAAAGTCAACCTGAGTTTGATTCACTCTAGGAATAGCCTTGACACTGAGCCTCTGAAGGTGAGCAGGGCTGCGGGCACAGGCCGGGGCCCACAGGGCCCACACAGCCCTCTAGAGAGCAGGAACAGGGCACAGGCTGGCAAAGCTGGAGGCAGAGGGGAGTCGGGAACAGAGATCAAAACATGGGCAGTGACCAGAACACAGGTCGGGCAGGGCAGGGTCCAGAAAGGAGGCAAGGATGGGCAGGGCAGAGTTCAAGGCAGGAAGACAGATGGGGCCGAGCACTGGGAGAGTACAGAGCAGGGCTGCGAAAGGTGACAGGCAGAAGGAAGAAAACCAAGAATTTCTCGTTTGCCCCAAAGGGGCCCACAGGGAGTAGGGATCTCCAGCCATGAGCCACCTTTCCACCTTAACCTGTGCATGCCTCCCAAAAACTAGCAAAAGGAAGACAATTTAGCTAAGATCGACAGGAGTCACTTCTCACTTAAAAAAATTAAGTAAGACAGCAACAAGGACTCCAACTAGAATGCTGCCCAAGCTCAACAAAGCCAACTTCTCCGGGAAGTTCAAGTTCAGTGCCCCAATCCCAGCACCCTGTACCTTTAAGGAGAAGGGCTCCCTCCACTTCTTCACTGAAGAGGCAGGTTATTCTCCAATATAGCAATTACTTACCTAAAACTGAGTTATTCCCCTTCCCTCCTCTGGCCAGCCTCTCTTCACTCTGGGGAGCTTTTACCATTTAAGGTCAATGTTACATCTGGCTCCGGAGCTGAGAAGCAAGCCTCTTTCTGGCTGCTGAGCCTCCACTGCCCGCCTCCTCAGAGGGGCTGGGACTTATTGCTGCGAGCTCCTCAGGGAGCCCCCTCTGGCCAGGCTCAAGGGGTTAATGGCACAGGGAAACTAACTTGGCTGGCCTCAGGGTTCAGGGCTGGCTGGGCCTTTGAGGCAGGAACTTGCCTAGGCCCCTCTCATAGACACACACTCAGGTGGATGGCAGTGTCAATGGGCAGCTCATGCCCCCCATCACTGTCCTTGGCCGGATGGGGACCAAAGGGCCTTTGCAGATCCAGTTCCCAGCTTAGAGTCCCCAGCAAGCATGTGAATCTGGATAAGACTCTGGCCCAGTGCCAGCAGAAACTGGGAACATTTCCTGTCCTGAAGAGCTGTGGGTGGGAGCTACTCCCACCTTAAACCCTTGGTATGGCCAGAAGCAAAGGCCTGGGAGAACCAGCTAATGCCAGACCTCGCACTGGCCCCAGGGGCTGCACCCCCTGCTCCTGCACCTCATAGCCAGTGGTCTAAACACTGCCGACCATCAGTCTCCTCATGCAGCTAGTGGAAATACCAGTGTTAAGTCCTGACTCCTAAGGCTGGTAGGAGGATTAAGTGAGGTTAACAGTGAAGTGCCCAGCACATGGCCAGCATGTCTTCATCTCTGAAGTGCATCTTGTTCATGCCCAGATCGACTTATTTCCTGTCAGTCCCCACTTTAGCCGTATTTATTCCTCACCCACCTCAGGGACAGTACACACACGGGATCAAGATCGCAGACTCTAGGGCAAAGCACACGGGGCTTAGAGGCTGGAAAAAGCAGCCTTGGACAGTGTGCCAGGTCAAGTCCAGGCTGCCCGCTTGTCTTCGTGATCTAGCGCTGCTATAAACAGAAATTCTAATTCAGAGCACCAGTTCTCCAGGAAGATTTTCTTTCTCTGTCATCCCTGGTTCAACACCTGTGGGACTGGCATTCCTGGAGTGTCATGGCATCTTAGTGTCTTGTTGTCCCTTTGCCCAGGAGGTTCTGAACACAGGGACCCAGGCTCCGAAGGGCACCCCTCCTTCTTGGCTCTTCTTTCTCGGTGGTGGGTCCTTTTCCTTAGTGCTCACTTGCTTAATCTCTTTTATTTCCTCAGGATGCAAACTAATCCTATAGATTGTATCCTGTCTCATTAGCATAACTGTCTCTGATCCCGCCTCATTAGCATCACAGTAGATAGGATTTACAGCACACAGATTAATTTGATCAGATCATAAAATGGAAGCTAATTCCATCAGACTGGAAATCATGGCCTAGCCCTGAGGACCCAAATGTTGACGGGACACAATTCAATCCATCACACCATTATATTTTAGATAAAATTTCAGATAAGTAAGTTTCTCGTATACAGTATATACCATGAAATATTTGGGGCACACATACTGAAGAGAAAAAGAAAACAAAACCATTGCATGGGATATATTTGTACCACATGCAGATATAGACTCAAACACACAAGAAGCTGGAGGGTGGGCTCCAGGAGGGCAGGGATTTATACACCCATCTGTCTCATTGGCTCCGGCCTCTCCCGGGCCTGAGAATGCCTGGCGCACCGAATAAATGGCCACGGTGCAACCTGACTGTGCATGATTCTACGTGTCACCTAGGAGCCCTGGTGGTATAGTGGTTCCTCACTGGGCTGCTAACTACAAGGTCAGCAGTTCAAAACCACTAGCCGTTCCCTGGGAGAAAGATGAGGCGCTCTACTTCCATAAGGAGTGGTAGTCTCAGAAACCCACAGGGGCAGTTCTCCCTCGTCCTCTGGGGTCACTGCAAGTTGGCATCCACCTCTTGGCAGTGAGTTTGCTTTGGGGGCCTGTCAGCCGTTTGCGTCAGTTCAAAGACCGTTGCTTCTGAACTGGAGAGCAAGGGGAGGGAAGCAAGTCCCTTCCCTTGTTGCTCGTTGCGGTCTGTGGAATTCTCGACATCTGGTCCATCCAATCCAGTAAAGTTGCTGGGACTTTGGAGACCAAATATAAGTGGGGTGCGTGTGGTCTGACTTTAACCAATAACACTCTGGCCTGGAAAGCGCCATCAAAGACCAGATCTCCCAAGTTTAAAGTGCCAATGGCACCCATCTGGGCATTGCTGCTAAATATCCTTTGGATCCCACCGTTTCCATTTCTGCAAATGTCAACATCTCTCGCTGAATTAGAGCAGGTGAACCCCAGACGCCGAGGCCCAGCATGACGCGTCCACCGTCTGCTCTGGGAGGCTCTGGGAAGAGCATTCCAGCTGGAGCCGCAACCTGGGCTTGCCCTGGAATTGGAGGCGTAACCCGGCTGAAGAGACCCTGGAACCAGGTATCAGATTTGACCTTAATATATTTCCATGATGACCAGCAGGCTCCCCTCCCCACCCAACCCCCAACCCCTGACCACAAACCAAACTCACTGCCATGAAGTGCCCCACAGAGGTGATCAAAACTGAAGGTGGTCTCAACAAAAGCTGCATGTTAGACATGCAGCCGGTGCCTCGTTGGCTGGTTTCCAGTTCAATCGGTTATCTAGTCACCTATATATTATTTAGTGTGCCCACCAATAAGAGATCTCTATGGGAAAAAAAAAAGATGAAGCCTTGGAAATGGCATGCAGCACTTCTAGTCTACAGGGACATCGTGAGTTCGAATTTCAGCTCTGCACAGTCTCACTGAAGTTAGCACAAGGAATCACTCGTATGACATTAGATGCCAGAATGATTAAGTTGAATGATATGTGAAGCAGATGCCCATAAAATGCCGCGAAAGAAAAACATTAGATGCCAACGGGAAGGGTCATTGCCGGGACAAGCATTAAGGTCAGCCTATCCATACATTGAACATTTTGAACCGTGTGAATGAGTCATGTGTTTATATTGACAAACAAGAGTAAAATAAAGACATTGCTATCGACAGGTATTTAATTGATTTCCCCTCCAGCACTGCTTCCTCCAAGAATCAGTGTGTTGGCAGGAGCCTAACTCAAGCCTTCCTCCTCACAAAGGCTAGTGAGTATTTCTGGTGTGGAAGACATCGTGTGGGGCAGGGGCCTTGGCATGGACACCTCAGGCTGCGACTTAGACCCAGCCCTGCCCTCATGGCACATAGACCAGTGAAGGTGACCTGTTTCTCTAGTGGGAAGGACATCGTGGGGGCCAGGGACCCAGTAATGCACGAGGACTGCTGACCACAGCTCTAAAAATGGAACTGTGTCCCTTGCTGTCCTGGTCACAGAGCTTCACAGTTAGCTTGCCTAAAAGCTAACTTTTAATCCTTAAAAGAGCATGAGCCATCACTCAGGCTATATTTATCTGCGTTCCGGAGCCACGCGGGGATCTGGCCTCGCTGTAGCAGGGGCTCCAGTCCATCACTCACTCCCACTGGAGACAGTCGTGTGTCCCCGCATCAAGGCCATGGCGGCACACTGGCACAGAGCTCGGCCAGGCTCTCCCCACAGGCCCTCTGGCCCAAGGCCAGGGGAAAGGGCCACAAGTCCCAGGCCAAAAGCACATGCCGGGACAAAAGGAAGTCAAGTGAGGAGAAGTGGCTTTCTGCCAAAACGCTGCCAGCCTTGGGATTGATCCCCAGGATGATCTCACTGGAATTGTGACTTCCCTACCCCTTTGAGACACAGGGACTTTGGATATGCCCAATACCAAGTAGGCCCTGGATGAAGAAGGAAGAAGATAAATGGTCAATCAGCAGGAGTTGAATCCAGGCAACAAGGACAGCCGTCAATTACTGAGCACAGTGCCAGGCAATGTGCCAGCCACTTTACATATATGGTCTCGTTCTTGCCTCACCGACTCCCTGTGACAGCAGGCTTCCCGTCCCTATGGCATGGACTTAGACAGGGCAGGGCGCTTGCCATGGTGTCACGGTTCTCACACCGTGTTTCTGACTCTAGAGCGCCATATGTCTAGCTGAAGTTAGACTGGGAATCCGTGCTAATGCCTCTCCCTCCTCGGGGCCGATGAAAGCAATAGCAAAAGACTCCTTTTAAAGGACTAAATGCTTAGCCACAAGGAGGACAGGAGGAAACTATGTGAGCCTATGTCTGAAGCTGACCGGAGGATGGCGAGTCAGGAGAAGAGGCCTTGCATCCAGCCCTTGGTGACTCACAGAGAAAACCAAGAAGGAACTCTCTTGGATGTCCCTGGGAGGCTCTGGACTTACACGGACAAGTGGAACAAGGCCAGAAATGAGATCCAGTAGCAAACATTTGGAAGTTTATCGAAAGTTTATGAGCAGGAGAAGCAGGGGAAAGAGTTAACCCAAGGAACTTTTGGACACGGCATTTTGCCCTCGGGCAAAAGTCACAAAAAAACTATAGCAAATATTGAATAGGCTTCTTTTTCATAAGCATGGGTTTGCAACTCTGAAAATATTTTTGTGCATTCCAGGATTGAGCAAATTAGTGAATAAATTTTGGATCATGAAAATCATGTTTCTCACTATCTGAGGGAAGTATAAGAAACAGGAAAAAGGAATTATAACTATGGAAAATAGAATGAATCATGCAGTACTGTATTGGAATTGTAGGTATCAGAGCGGACTTGATATATAGATTCACAGGTAGCTACACAAAGACATAAATACACACACACATCAAAAAAATACACACACACATATATATGTGTGTCAACATAAATACGTATACACGATTGCTGAAGACAAATGGGTGCATAAGCAAATGTGGTGAAGAAAGCTGATGGTATCTGGCTATCAAACGATATAGCGTCTGGGGTCTTAAAGGCTTGAAGGTAAACAAGCGGCCATCTAGCTCAGAAGTAACAAAGCCCACATGGAAGAAGCACACCAGCCTGTGCGATCATGAGGTGTCGAAGGGATCAGGTATC